CGTAGTACGTACGTACGTAACGTAACGTAACGTAACGTAACGTTAACGTAACGTAACGTAACGTAACGTACGTAACGTACGTACGTACGTACGTACGTACTACTCTCTCTCTCTCTCTCTCTCTCTCTCTCTCTCTCTCTCTCTCTCTCTCTCTCTCTCTCTCTCTCTCTCGCTCTCTCTCTCTCTCTCTACTTTTCTCTCTAAAGTAAAACAGGGGAATCTTTCTCTCCCTAGAGTAGTTTCTCTCTCTAGAGGCATACCTTCTGTAGGCAACAGGGACAATACCAGCCTTGTATTGAGCAATTTGTTGGAAGACAGGTTGAGCAAGATCAAAGTGTTGCTGAGGAGGGTTACACCACCCCCCTGCATTGTTAGGCAATGCATTATTTGGAGGGCAGAAGTTAGTTGCAGTCACAATAATGGACCCAGGAAGGCACCAGCTTGGGTCATCAACACATTTGATCTCAAAGCAAGCTCCACAGCTCAGTCCATTGTTGAACAGAGCAGTGCTCAATGCTGCAGTGTTTGTTCCATACCCCTGACTGTACAAGTTCCCATAACCACAAGCCCCACCTGCAAAAAAAACCAAACACGAGGGCCATTAATGGTCAAAACCAGATAAAACAGGGAACCTACTTCATTGTATGGAGAGAGAACCCCACTACTGCTGAACCCATAAGACGAAGATGCCGAAGAAGTTACCCATTGTGCCGGAGGCGTCGCCACCGCCATAGAAGGTTGCATGGGCACTATTCCATCCATAACCATCAGCAAGAGCAGGCTTGAGAATGCTCAATAGGGCAGCCAAGAACAATCCAAGAAAAGCCATTGCCCTGCTCAAAACCAAAAAGCACACCAGTTATTCAGTGTTTAGAGAGTTAAAACTTAAGGAGATAGCTTCTAGAGGGACATAATAAATTTGAGTGAGAGAGAGAGAAGGGGGAAAGAAATCTAGAGAGAGAGAGAGACAGAGAAGGGGGGAAAGATTTCCAGAGAGAGAGACTTACAAAGGAGGAGGAAAGTCCAGTTGCCAAATATGGAGAAGGCAAAGAAAAGAAGGGATGAACAAAAATGTAAAGGGGAAGGGTTGAATATATAGAGGTGGGAAGGGGGGGGGGGGTTTGGAGACAGGTATAAATGAATTTCTCTTTTAAATCTCAAAAGGGAACTAGAAAGAATAGTATCCTAACAACTAACCGACACTACTAAACTAGTTAAAAAAAAAAAAAAAAGGATGAAAAATAATAAGAAGATTAAAAGCTAATAATAATTTATATTAGGGTGCAGTTTCTATAAGGTTGCAATTTTAAACAATCCAATTATGGCGTATCTCCAAATTTTATCATAACATGTAATTTGATTGTAAAAAATTCTACCATTATCTTAAAATCTATTTTCATATTTAATTAGAAAATTTTAAATTTCAAAAATAGTTAAAATAAAAGAGATCTATAAACATATGAAAATCCTGAAAATGGACGACCTAAATAATGTGTTGCAAGATACACTATTTATGAAACTCAAATTTTTTTTATTACATATTTATATATCTCGATGTCGAAATGATCAAATAGAAGGTTTTTCAACATTAAAACAGTCTTTCCGATATATTTTTGAGATGCATGTGTAATTCTACATTTTTATAGTTGCTTGTATAAACTTTTTCCTTTATTATTAAGTGCCAATTGAAAATGACTTCCTATTATTCTTATGTTTTCTCTCTCCTCTTCCTTTTTAAACACTTGTTCTTGTCTTTGACCTTTTTTGTTTCCTAAGGCCTTTCTTTTTCTTATTTCCCCATTTTGTGTTTCTATTCATTTTCCATTTGTCTTAGGGATATTCTCAAATGATCAGATGCTTCGCAAGGATCAAATTGTACATTCACTCCCTCAGGAAAAACCCTATCTAGAAGTATTTTTAGGAACTCAAAATAATTAACCTGCTTGACATAGACCAACATCCAAAAAAAAAAGGATATTTCGCACTCAAAATTTTCTCTTTGAATGTTTAATTTCATACTCATTTTTATGTGCCCAAAAGAATTGTCCCCGATCATCGACATATCTCGTTTAGTTTTCAGGTTAGATCCTTAGTTTTGGAACTCATAATGTGTTTTCTTTTTCAGTTTACTCATATAGATATTGTTATATAGATCAATTCATACTCAAAATTTTTTCCAAATTACATGTCTTTTGCCCGAGGGAATAAATCTATAATGTGCTCCTGCGATAACACCCTACATGTTCTCTTTGAATAAAAATTGTCCTAGAGAACCTTATCCTACAAGATAAATTTGATGCTGGGACATAAACTTTTTGACCCACATGCACCATCAATGTTGGAAACCACTAAAAGAACATCCTTTAAATGGAATTTAGGTAAACCCATCTTAATTATCATATTTTGTTGAATGGTTGTTAGGTATTTCAAAAGAAGAAAAAGAAATGAAATAGAAAAGGCAAAAGAAAGGAAGTGAGAGAAAAGTTAAATTCCATTTGGCTTTTGTTTTTGTAATGAAATGGGGGAGTTTGAGAATTTGGGGTTTGCTTAATTGGATTAAATCAACTAATTGGAATCAATTTGAGGTTGTTTATGAGGGTCAATTTCATCAAAGGATTTTAAAAATCAATGTTGGTTTTTGGTGGATTATCTTTAGTTGATAGGCCCCCACAATGCACATGGGTGATGAAATACTGCCTTAAGTCAAGGAAACCCTAATTGCTCCTTTGGCCCTCCATGTTGGAAACTGTTATCTGACTTTTAGTGAGAGATATTCACATTGAAAATTAAGTTTAGAGAGAGAGAGGGAGCAAAACATTGTTTGTTAATGTTAGTTAATGACTAAGCTGTGGAAAAGATTATTTCTTTTTGAATACCCTCAAATTCAGGATCTAGAAAAGGAGACCTAGGCTTGCTTGTAATGCACTGCATGTGGAAAATTGTCCAGCTTGAAAAAGTTGGAAAAAGAAAAGAGTGACAATTAGCCTATTTTGAAAATTAAAAGAAAAACTTGTGCTCCCTCGGAGAGCAAAATGTACTTTTGCTCCCTTGGCAAAAAAAAAAAAAATCTATCTTGTAGTACTTTTAAGACACTAAATTTGGAGATAGGGTACTATTTGACAAAGAGAGCAACCTAAAAACCAAAAAAAATTAAATACGCACTATGGAATTGTCTGAAAAAACAAATTCACACCTCAGGATTGAACATAGACTGTCTAATTTTTGCCGAGTCAAATACAGGTCTACAAGAACTCAAAGTACTTTGTTTTTCCTATGTGAAAACTACTCATCTCATGATTCTAAAGTGGGTTGGAATTTTCTGGTTTAAAAAAATAAGAAAATACTTCTCGGTGTTTTGCCTGAGGGAGCAAATGAACAATTTGCTCCCCCGGGAGCACCATACACATGCATAGCTGATTCTTTATGGGCCATTCAAATTTTCGTCATCGCTTTATTTGAAACTGTTTTCCCTCTCTCACACACACACATTCTTTCTCTCTCTCTCTAACTTTGCAACTGCAAGCTGTGACCACCTGGACTTCTCAATCCAAAAACTATTTCCTTCCATTTTATAAATGGAATGTGCAGTCTTTACAGGTTGACATAACTGTAGAGCAAACCGCTCATCATTACTGTAGGCAAAAGCCCCCAGTTTGAACTCTCTCTCTCTTGTTTGATTTATATTTTAGAGAGAGGATGAGCATGCTAACCTTTTGAGTTCGGGTCTTTGATCTCAGTTCGGGTTTTTTTGATGTCTGTTCCTCTAGTTTCATATAATTTGAGTTCGGGTTTTTTTTATCTCTCTTTCTCTAGTTTCATATGATTTGCATGCATGCTTCCATTATGAAGCGGATCACCTCACTCTATTCCCAAGACTCAATATCATAGAGGCCACTCTTGGCTTGAATAACCGCACCTTTTGGTGTCTATTATATTAGGAGCAAGTGATTGAAAACTTGGCTGTCTAATCTCTCCTCGGCGGAGGTGTCCAACTTAGGAATATTAATAAAAAGTTAAAAAAAATAAATAAAAATTATAAAAATATAAAAAAAATTTATTTGGACTATGATTTTTTATGCTTTTTACGCAAATATTGAAAATTGTTCAGGCCATAAATATTTATTTTTTAATTTTCCAATCTTTTTTTAATTATATAAAAAATACCCACAAGTTGATTTTTTAAAATTTATTTTGTTACTTCTTTTTTAACATCATTTTGAATTGTTAGGTTTAATCTTACTTTAAACACAGATGTTTTATTTTTTAAATTTTTTTTTACATTTTTATAATATTTTTAACTTGTTTTTTTAATCGCAACAATACTCGGCACTAATCCGCAAGTTACTTTGACTCAGTCCAAGTAAGCGACTCAGGCCAAGACCGATTACCCTGCCCGAGTCGCGCTTTTTAACACTGATTAGGAGTATCCCATAAGTTAAGAGATTCCATTGATATATCATCATTTTGGATAACAACAAATGCTAATAAGAAAGGTTATCATAGTGTCCAAGATCAAATCTTACTTAGCTATAACAAACTACCACATTTCTTTTAATATCTTGTTATAAAACTATGAAACACATGCTCTGGCTAACAAACTACCACATATCTTGCATAACTTGGTATAAAACTATGAAACACATGCTCTCACTCACAACCAAGTTTATGGCATGTGGGTTCGAGGGTTGAAAACTTGGTGAATAGGGTTTAAGAGGAAGCAACACAATCTCCAAGGCCCAAGTACCATCTTATCAATCTCTCCCCCCTCTCTCTCCACATCATTTTTATTCTAAAATTTTTACGAGTTCTTTTGACTTGAAAGATGAACTTGACCTATGTACACAAGAAATTTTTTTTTAAAGAAATATACTCCAAAAAGGTTTTATATATATATGAAAAAACCTAAAACACATCTATAAGCGAAATACTACAGTGTTTCGCCATCGCCACGGACTTGCTATGTCTGTAGCGGTTTATTGAACGGACCCACAACAGACGGCGCCATCTATTACAGTTCCGCGTGAATTTTTTGACCGCCACGGATCTGGTACGTCTCCGAACGGTATTGCCACGGACATGCTAGGTTTGTGGTGATTGAAAAATGCACGCCGTCCGAATTTTTTGGACGATGATGAGCCTATCGGTGAAAACACTATTTATTTTCTAGTCGTGGGAGGCAAGGCACACAGGGATAGG